GCGCGGCTCGGAGCGCGCTTTCAACGTTCCATCTTCCTATATATAGCGGGTGATCGCCGGGAGGAGGCTGAGGCAGGGTCTCGAGGAACAGTCTTAATTGTTTATCGGGCGGGGGAACACGGGCAAGCACGACTATCCTCATGGGGGTTCCTTTTGCGCTGCCACTGCACGGGCCCAATTGCAGCGTGCAGCACGAGTGAGCGATGACCCGCTTTCGTCGGACGCTCTGATCTTCGTTGGAGCCCTCGCGCGATAAACTGATCAACACATCTCAATGCCTCGGACTACCTCGAATTGGAGACTGACCGCTAAGATTGCGAGCGCGATCGGGTATCGGGGCTCCCACTGCACGCGAGTTCGTGCTGTCGAGGCGAACGCTGGGGGCAAGGCAATCGTCGGCATTAGGGCACTACAGGTTCGAGAACGCGACAACAGTGGCAACGTCGACATAAGATCGCACATGATGGCAAAAAATATATATATTTTTTTTTCTTTTTTTTTTTAAATTTGGGGGCTCGCTGAGATTACAACTGCCAAGCAAATACCATTATACATTTTTTTTTTCCTTATATGACGTACCATGCCTATAGTCGCGCTGCCGCTTCGAGAACGAAATTGTCCCAATCGAGAGTTTAGCCAATCGTCTTTTAAGTTCATATATACCGCTACGGACACGCGCCTCAAAGGGATTAGGCACAGGAATAAAGTGCCGAAGGGGGGTATCTGGCCCTGCCTCCATGCGAACGTTTCCCTATAAGATTATGTAACAAAATCGAGGAAGCAAACACTGCAAGAGCGTGCTTGAGGTCGAAGCCCAGATCGCCCAAGCCACCGGCCATGACCTCAGGAATGCACCGGATCACGGCACTCTCAACGAAACGCCTAAAGGTCGCCCATTACACAGCCAAGAAACCCCCCCGATGGCGTACGATCGCAGACATTATGAACTGCGCTGACAGTATTTCACGCTCCTTTGGCACACCTGCCACTTCCCGAGAGCTGTGGTGGATAGAATGCGAAATTTAGGTCCCATTCTCTTACCTATTTGATAAGTTGAGAAATAGTAGAGCTTGTGGGGAACGTGTTTGCAGAAAAGGGACCGATCCGGTGATGCAGCTAATATTGTCCGCGGCGAGGGTACATCCGAGTCGCGAAGAGCGCAATCCCTGCACACGTTTCCCCGACAGACATGTTTTGTCACGGCATTCCCTTCGAGCTTCCCCGTCCTCAAGAATGCAGTCCGGCAAAGTCTGGATCCTCCCGCGAAGCGCCCGCGGCAGCTTTCGGAAGAGAAATGAACCCAACGTTCAACGTCAAAATTCTTCGGAGTGCATAGACTCGAATAAAGAGACCCGGGTCATCCATTATTCCCGCTGCGCAAGACCCGCTCGTATATATCCAACGAAAATCTCCGCTAGAGGCGTTCCTCACTCGTCCGCATGCCAAATCTTTCTAAGAGGAAGGAATCCCTCAACGAGTCTTGAAGACAAATAAGCCCTATCGACGTGAGAGAGTTAATGGGAGGTCCAGAAGTGAGCTTTTCAGGCGTTAAATAATGAACCTTTCCCTACGAAGATATATTTTTCAGGCTAAGGTAAACCATAGCTTCGCCGACCGCCAGCCATGTCCTTTTGAAAAAACATCACAAAAAGAGTTCACAATAGGACATTTTTCGGGCGCTGCAGTGTGATGACACAGAGGCGCCATTCAATGAACTAGCAGCGATTTTAATTTATATGACAGTTAGTGGAATCTTGATTACTATAGTATCGAACAAACGACGATTAAAGGTGCTTGATTTTGAGGCCGTTTGAACGGCATTTCGTCTCCGAGAACAAGCGGCTCGTCGCGTGTATGAGGGAATAACGCGTAACAACAATCTGCAATGAGTGCTTGGTTCATGAATTCGCCATGTCTATCAGCCCCCTAAGCTTTTAGGCACAGCAAAAACACCACGCGATCGAAGAAAAAAAAATACGCGTGCGGAGCAAAACAATTTTAGAAACAAAAGCAGGTCACCATGCAAAGGTAAACATTGCGCATGCGCGAGGGCATGTCTCCAGAGAAAAGTCATGATCGCGCAACCAAGCGACGTTACGATCCCGGTTCGACCCTTAATCTCCAATTATCACGACGTCACAAGAGCGCGAATAAATCTTTGCTACAACTTATCACCTCTGCTTCACTGCCTAACTGAAACCGTACATCACACCCAGCGCAAGCACGGCTACGTCCGTAAAGAGCGCTAGGCCTTCACAACTCGCTCATCGAAAGCGAAAACAAAAACAAAAACGAAAGAAAAAAAAAAAAGGAAGAGACCTGTCAAGCGACGTTCACGGCGTGCGAAAGAGAGGAGCAATTACACCTTGTGACCCGCAGTAGGTTTAATTGCTTGGGTGCCCGACATGGCACGACTCCAGGACCGGGGAGTGCTGACCCTCTCCCCCTATATTCCCTCGCCACAAATCAATCTGTGCCTATTTTTAGACCACCGACACTAAAAGAAACTCTGATGTCAACAACCTTCATTATCAAAGTTCGTTTGCCTATGACAACGAGGGAGTCGCGTTTCCAATCTTACCTCAGAGTAACAACACGGACCAGTCGCGCCGCAAACAAACGGCTAACCGATTCCTTATCGGAAGAAAAACAACGCATCCACGGCTTTGAACTGACTCGGGAAGAAAGCTGGAAGAGAAGAGCCACAAGCGAGTGCCACTCCAACGTACGCAGCGGTACGCAAATCGCGTCGCGGCTTCGGTAGGAAATGGGGCATTGTTGTGGTAGTACTCACGAGGCAACGCGCAGGCGAGCTTTTCCGCAGTGCATCGCGATCGAGCGGGAGAGCTAGACGTGCAGGACCAGGCACGCTAGCCTTGAGCCCAGCGCGCCGCTACGCTTTGTGCTTTTCGCTCCCCGCCGAGTCTGCGCAACGTGTGCTTTCCGGGTTCGAGGCTAAGGAAACGCGGGGAATTTGAAATCGGAGCGACCCTATCGGATATGCTTGAGTTGAAAGTACATTCTCGCTTTCATCCCGCGTTAAAACCCGATTTTTTCCTGGTTTGACACTTGAGGAAGCTGAAACATTTCTGGCAAAAATGAAATAGAGGTTCATTCTAGCGTAGTTCTATCCCGTGAACTTAAATATCACGTTCGTTTTTTTTTTTTTTTTCACGAAAATGTAATTTAAGGCGAGAAAACACGAAAAACCTCCCACAAGTCATTACGTCATAAGAGGGTCTTTCGACTGCCAAGCGCGTGTCGCTCGAGGGCCGCGCGAGCAATTGCAAGCCTGCCACGCATATTCCCCCACACTAACACCAGTCGTTACGTCTTTTTTTTTTTTTTTTTTTTAATAGCAAGAGTGCGCGTGCGTGGCTTCGATAGGCGCTGAAGATGCGTGAGAGCGGAGATTCCGAAAAGTCATCTTGTGACTCCCCGCTCCGGGAAAGAGGGCAATCAGCGGTACTTTAAAAATGATTTTTTTCAACCTAAATGCACCAAATTAAAAATAATAATAATTTCGATATTAGCGATCCTGGAGGTCAAATGAAGACGATTTAAGTGTGTTCCCTCAAATAGAAAACCACTTCAGCCCCCTTTTAAGCGACTAGTCGCGTTTCTATTCACTCACAACCTACTCTATTACCTATTGTACTTTTACCATGACTTCCCATCATGACGTAGATGGCATCAAGACGCTGTATTCACTCCAGAGCAGTGTTAGATTTTTGCTTGCACACTAAGATACTTATGTTGGAATAGTGGTGCCTACAAAATATAATTAAAGTTACTTGTGCCTGACCATCATAGCAAACGGGAATCACTTTATAATCTCGTAAAATCAACACCCATCGCAGTTCCATACTTTAATGCAAATGCCAAATTTCATCGTAAACATTCAGAAACTATTAAGTGCAGGAGAACCAGTGACATCGGTTAGTGTGGTTATAACGCCTATGAACATAAACAAAGCTGAATATCATTGTACTGCGAGCCACAAGACTTTAAGTCTATCCAGGATTAAAATCAATAGGTCTTGCAAGAAATGTCAATAACATTTTTAAGAAAAAGGTTATTTCACCCTTCACCTTTAATAGAAGCTTGAATAACAACATTTATGAACATCAAACTCCTCCAACCCCTTACAATAGCCAATTTCTTTTTTTACATCATGCAGTGTCGTTATAGAAAATTGTTAAGAAGATTTTTACTGCTGATGCAACCGCACTACAAGCATGTTTGTCTGTCCACTCCATTACTATTAGTTCTATAGGACTAATGACTGTACACAAAGAAAGTTCAAGGTAAAACATTATGTAATGCTGCGAGTTCCCTGCTATCACAGATCTAGATTCATTCATCTACTGCAAGACTGCCTAATGTTCTTTTTTTTTTTCCTTTAAAGTAGCTAAATTGAATATAGCAATACACAAGAATTGTTCTCGTTATACAAAAAAATATCCGCACAGTTGTTTCCTTATAATATTTTAAGAAAAAGATCTTTAGTTACCTTTGTACACTTCTTGAAAACTTCACGCTACATAAGATGGTCACTAGCTTTGTTAATTTTGGAATAATTTGCAATATTCGTCACCATTACCACAGCTAGCCCATTAATGGCAGTATACTGCACGAAGCAGCCAGCTTAAATGGGGGATTGGTTTTTGCTTGTAGTTCACTCACGCCTGACTTCTGAGCTCCTGAGAGTGTGAACTGCACTTACACATCACATACAGACATTCCACAAAGGATAAAATTGTCAACAGTCTATTGTCAACAACGGATAACAGCCCCAAGCAAAATGTAAGAGCCCATTAAATTGAGCATTCAGGCAGACCGTGGTGCACACAGCACTAGGGTACAAAAAATGCAGACAGTTCTCCAGCTACATTGCTCTGGCTGTAATGAGGCACTGTGAATTTTGTGATTTGCAGGCTGAATCAAACTACATTGCAAATGCAGAAAAGAAGATAAAAAGATAAAGAAAGGAAACTCACCCTTGACAGGGCACGGTGAGAAGTTTGCAGCGCTTCCCACTCTGCAACTTGCTGGACGGACAAACTGTTCTACATTCACTGACGGATCGCCAAGCACGCTCACCAGGGACATGGCAGGATTCCCAAACAGACTCGGAGTGGGTGGTCGGTCTACTGATTTCAAACCCATGTTTCTGGAAGCAAATATGCCAGCGAAAGCTTGCTGGTTCAACAAACACGTCCGAGCATCCTCCGTAGATCGAGTTTCTTTGTTTCTCAAATGTCTTCCCCGCCTTCGAGCTGTGTTATGACGGTAGATTCGTCTTTCCAATACCTTGTAGTTGTGATGGCTCTGGAAAAGAAAAAAAATAGATTAAAGAAAGGTGCTCTGGACACACAGAGCAACAACATTCTGCGAAGAACAGTATGATCTTGGTTCATTTTCGTGAAAGACTTTCAGTGCATTTTATAAAGTGAGATCAAGATTACGACTAAATATTTCTATGATCTTATTTGGGCTTATCTCCTAGAGAATGAAATCACCGCAAATGCTCTACTCAAAAGCTTCAAGAAACAAATAACAATGCTTTGTCGTAAGAAACAAAGTAACTCTGTATGAATTTTACCAAAGTTACCATCAATACCTGCATAACACTAAACAAGAAAAAAAAAAAAAAGAAGAATTAGCTGCACATCACTGTGATCACAAAGTGCGATAAAAGATATGCCACGATTTTCACATTTCTAAAGCGAAGTGAAAGGCTGTTTAAGCAAAATCACTGCCAACTCACAGACTCTGTTGAAGAGCTGCTGGTGTCTTCAGCTTCAGAAAAGTCTCCATCCATACCGACCTTCTGAGGCAAGACGCCCGCCACCTGCCTGGATGAAGAAAAGCAAGTGAACGATGACAATATAAAGCTAACGCACATGATATGAAAAAAAAAAGGGGTTTTCATTTACTACGAAACAATTGCAAAATGTTCCTATGTCAAAAGATGTGAGTGACACACACCATTCTGGCAGGTATTTGGAAGACACGGGGGCCGTCTGTACACGAGAAAGACACCAGGGGCACTGAGCGCGCTCGGAGACAGTTACCACGCCGCGCCCAGAACACCTGGAGAGTGATCAATATTCTGGGTATCTCCTCTGTGGCTTCCCCTTACCTACCTGACTCACCAAATTTTGTATTACGTTTGGGCGTTTTTTTTTTTCGTTTGTTTCTGCTAAGTAGGATCTATACATTGCCGCAACCGCCATCTATGCGTCGATTGTAGAACTAATGTTCACACATACAAGCCGGTCGTGAGTTCTGACCAAGCTCGGAAGCGATTTTAAAACAGATGTTGTAAATTACGTGGAAAGCTATCAAATCGGTAATTTTAGTACAAATTTGACTGCCTAGAAATGCACGTAGATGAGGCGTTCGTGTGAGTTTTGAATAAACGCCGAGCGAAGTTCAAATAAAAATAAATATCTTCTTTTCCTAAAAAGTTCTTTTCCCGACGCAAATGCAAAGGAGTTGCAAATGTATGCAAACGTAAATGCAAAGGAGACTACAGAGACGGCAAATAACAAGCGGATATAAACTTCATGGTGGTATAACAAGTCGACCTTGGCAAACGACGAGACCGCAAAAACAAACGCAAAAAAAAAAAAAAAGAGGAAATAATTAGAACAGCTGATATACGCTTCCCGGACAGCTTTCACACACGCTATTTGGCACAATGCAGGCAGACAGGTACTTTGGACTTCTGATCTCGCGTCTGACGAAACCCAAGCAACTTATACATAAAGAACATTTAGAGAAACGGGGAGTAAGTTGCAAATATGTGCCTGTAGCAAGCTACACAGAAAGCCATGGTCGATTCGCTGGTACTTTGAGACCGTTCGTCCAATGCACTTTGACAGTCAGTTCCCAAGCAACTCGTCGTATCGGCCGATATCTAGGAAGGACGGAACTCGCATGCTTGTCAACTGATCAGCCGGCAACACCCTTTTTGAGTCATTCGCAAGCGGGCAAACTGTATCGGGCCGAATGCCATTTTTGGTAACGCAGCGGGGGTTTATGATCGGTAACACAAAACAAAACGTACGGTTTGCCTAGGAGACCACGGTCATCCCGCCTTCGGTTCTTGCATCTCGGTAAAGCGCTACGGGAGCGCTGCGTCTCAACTCAGGAACCCGGGAAAGTTTGTCGAACTCGCCAAGCACAGACGGGATTGTTCGGACTTCCCCATTGACGGCCAGCAGCAGCCGCCGTCAACGCGGTCAGCGTCACGTTGTGAATTGCAGAAGGTGACGCCGGCGACGCCGGCTTTACTCGTGGCGCCATCTGTTGGAAAGCCAATAACACGCTGTGCGCGCTTGGAAGTTTCGGTTTTGATTTAAAATCCTACCTGATTTGATCAACGTCCGGCTTATTAAATGTAGAATAAAATTAAAATAAAATAAAAAAAAAACAATTCATTTTTACGGGGTGTATGTAGTTGTTGAACAAGGCGAGCTGCCAGTGCACTACAAATCTTATTAAACTATTTTCTTTTAAGGTTTCTTTTTGTAAATTTATTATAGACCAGTTGTTAAGTGTACTTTCATTCTCCATATCAGTAATTATTTTTGACCTGCTGAAACTCTTGGGCATTCATAACGTTTCAGCAGATTGTGCAATCTTCTCCGTAGCTTCAACAGTTGTTTTAGTTAACCTGGCAGCCACAAGGTGGAGGCACCGCACTGCTAGCCCTGCTGAATAGCGCGAAGTGCCAAATTGAATTCCGATTTGATTTTTTTCGTCCAAAAACTAATTAAATTGGCCCGAATAACACTTGACACTCATCCACATCAACCGGTTGCATGTTGCATGGAGCCAGGGGCACCTTGAGTCAAAGTTGAGATAATTCTAGACCGGGGAGCGAAAATATTCGATAAAAATGTTTCACTCTCAGCAGCGACGCTTATTTTCGACCTCCATGCCGATGTTTCAGCACTAACCGCAATCTCATTCAGAAGTTATGTGATCTTATAAATATTTCAATGGGGATGAGGTCCCTTTTCGTCCGTTTTAGCCGATTCACACGACGGACCAAATCGCGATTTTCGTCCGCGGACCGTGTACCACGTGACCGGCACGTCACCGATTCCTGCGATCCGCGCCTCCTCCGCGGAGGCGCGGACTGATAAAGTCGAGCGCCTTTTTCACTCGCGGACGTTTGGCGGCAGACTGACTTGGAAAGCATTTAGTCTGGCAACGGTACATGGTTTTCTTGGTATTTTGCTTCTGGTCGTTCAAAACAAAAATGGCGCGTCGTTGTGTTTTGTGCGTTCGTTGGTTCATTTTGTCGTACGATTCTTGGTTCCACGCGTGAGAGAAACTCCAGAAACTTTGTCCGGCTGACGCGACGCAGGTATGCAGGTTCCGGTGCTCCTCCGGGTCCGTGTCAAGAAGCTCCCGTCAAAACTAGTCTAGCACGGCGCGATAATTCTTGCACGTCCAATCAGGATTTCACCGAGCAAGCCTTCTCTTGTGGATGTGGTGTGCTTGAGTGTTGTGCACGAGCGCGGAGTGTGTGAAGGCATCTCCAAACGCCCCTCAGCGAGCCCAGAAGTTCGTCACGTCTACGCCGAAGCTTTCTCGGGCAGGATCATGCCTGTGTCACTGTCATGCTTTGGGTTAGTAAAGTTAGTGGCGCTTCGCGCGAAGCCTGTCCCGGTGTTTTGTTCTCGATCTGTACGTTGCAGCGGCGAACGATTCTTTATCGCGGTAGCAACCGTCGATTTCTCTCTTGGACAACGGTAGTACTGTGCGATGTTGGAGTTTCGCGGTACTGTGGGGTGCGAACAGGTTCGGTCCGTCCTCGCTGGCGTCTGCTCGTCGTCTCCCTCGTGTGGATGCGCTTGGGAGACGGACGAACCGCGGATATGTCGTCACGTGATCAATCCGTCCGCGGATCAGTCCGTCGTGTGAATCGGCTATTTGCGGTAACTGGGAGCACCTCCTAGAGAGCTTGCCTGCGCGTCACGTGACATGACGTCAGGTCCCGGAGGCCTGCACGGGTGCTAATTGGATGCGAGTGCCGCGTAAGCGTTCGCGTGGGACTATGATAGGAAAAGAGCCCACGCGAACGCTGACGCGCCACTCGCATCCAATCAGCGCACGTGCAGGCCTCCGGGACGTGACGTCACGTCACGTCCCGGGGGGCTCAACGGGCCTGTCCAGGGCAGACATGTACAAATTACTCAAAAAAGATAGTTAAAGGGGCACTGACACATCAAAATCATATTTTTTTTTTATTATCCGAAACGATTGAAAACGATGCCGGGACATTACCCTCAAAATTTGAAATTTGGGAATTCAGTATTTGTGAAGTAAAAAAACAATTTCCAAATGTCGAATTCGAAGTTCCCGCGCGATCGGCGCCGGTGCCTTGACGTCAAAAATCGCGGAGACCTGAGAGTCGACTTTCTTTCACCACTCTCTGCTGTTGCCATGGCGACCCAAAGCGAGGAGGAAAGGAGTGAGCGGCGGCGTTACGGCGGACCGGGTTTGAGCGGTGTCGCCTGTTTTCCGTTGGAGGATACAAATCCAGAAGACGGCACCACAACGAACTCCCGATTTTTGGTATTTCAAAAAGAAGGGCCGTAGTGCGTTCGCAATTGCGTTAAAAAACATGTTTTACGATTGCCGTTATTAAATGTTATAGAGATGTCGCCTACAAAGCTTCTAAATTTCCTGATTTTTGACGTCACCGATCAAAAGAAGCGAGGAGGCGAGAGGCGGGAAAATCAAACGGCAAAATTAAAAAGGCGCGCGCGCGCGCGAGAAAATTTTTTTTCGCGATGCGGTTTTTTTTGCGTGTCTATGACTGCAACTTGCATCGTTTTAGACAATAAAAATAAATACGACCTTTGGGGTGTCAGTGCCCCTTTAAGTTAAGTTACTGAGTATCGACGTTAAAAGTAATTGGAGTAGAGTAGAAATTACGCATTTGTAATAGTGATTGAGTAAACTACTAACTACTGTAAAAAGTAGCGAGTTACTTTGAAGTTACTTTCGAAGTTACTTTTTTTATATTTTTGTGGTAGCAAAATGAACAGCAGTTTTGATCAATGAAAAACCCTGCGAGCCTAAAATAAATGCAGTCTATTTATGGCTTGCGTTTTCGCCAAAATAGTTTTTTCGCTCGCAGAAGCAATTGACTTTCAAAGTTCTTGATAGGAGAGTTTTCCCCTTTTCCTTCTAAGGACCTCCCCAGCCAAGCTAAATAGACGTTCCACCGACGGGCTGGATGGAACGGCAGCGTGGAATTTGAGAAACCGGCTGCGCAGGGTCGGGTAAGCGAGTGTCGGCATCTTAGGTGTCCATGACGAAACATGTGAGGTTTGCCTCGGGTAGATTGTCTTTTATAACAAACTTTCCTCCTTTTTTTCTTCTTTCTTCGTCAAGTTGAGATTGTTATGACTGGTCCCTCTTTATTCCGACGTCGTTCTGAGTGTACGCTGAGCGAGTGCACCAGACCTTCAAGGGTTCAAGTCTCGCGCCACGACGATGAGATCATCCGAACGACTGCGCCTCCCGTTGTAGTGCTACTGCTACGCTACTGAAAATAAAATTGTTTTGGTTTAACAGAAGATGAAAAGAAGTATACTTCGCCGCTGACGCCGGGTCCAACAAAATGATCTCCCAAGGGTAACTCGCAATCCTCGCCGGTGACTACAATATTCTGATGCGCCTCACACGCCTGACAAGTAAATCGTTTTAACAAAGAGGAGGTCTCCCAGGCATGGATGGTCGGAAGGACGCGAAGGATTACATGAACAAGCATCGTCGCTCTTATACAGTTGCAGCTGGAAGCGGGAACGTGCTCCCATGAACGGATTATCCATGCCAGGGTTTGTGCGCGGGGGAGTCCGGCTTTGCAAAGGCGTATGCGCTGACGACAAGGCGACCATAGGAACAGGCGCCCAGCTGCGAGGTCATTCCAGTGGCGCCTCCCGTGGAACCTACCGCTTGAGTCAGAACTCCGCTAAAGACAGACAACACGAAAACAACTCTCGGAGTGTACCCGTCTTTCACGGTTGCAACTGGAAACGCGGCGCCTGCGTGCATTACCGGATTAGGTCAATACCCGACCAAGGCTTGTTAAGCATCTCTTCCTGAATTCGTGCGTGCCGGTGTTATGTTTTGGCTGCTCGTCGCCACCTTGGCCCAAGGACGCCTTCCCGAACTAGGGGGCCCCTTGTTCGGGAATGCCACTTTATCTGCCGGCGTCTTATTCATTTCTGCGCTCAAACGTTCGTGATGGGCAAAATTAGCACTATATAATTTCGAAAGTAGTTAGTAATTTGAGTAGAAGTTACCTGAAGAAAGTAGTTAAATTAAACTACTAATTACCAAAATCAAGTTGTAATTGAAAGTTACCAAGTTACTCGAAAAAGTAGTTAAACTACAGTAGTTTAAGTAGAGTAGTTGAACTACGTCCAAGTCTGGTCCAGGGTGTAACATAGACAGGTGGGGAAACGAGAGCCAAATGAGCGACCGGATTGTGTCCCTCTCGGGTTTCTCTTTTTTTGTGGCGCCATCTATGTGGAGCACCGCGAACTCTCATTCCGGGTGGGCGACCGGTGGCGACCGGCTAAACCGACGGAGATGATTTCTCGTGGATATTTAATGAAGGACGGTCGTGCTCTCGGTTTATTTTCCGCACTCTCCCATAGAGTTCCATGCAAATCCGATTCCGATTTTTTTCCTCTCGCCGCAGCGCCATCTGTCGCATATCGGGGGTACCCGCAAGCAGACGAGTACACAATCCGGTCACGGTGCTGCGGTAGGCTTCTATGGGCCGTTTCCCCACCTGTCTATCTTACACCCTGGGCCTGTCACACATACCGTCCCCCGTGCACCCGACCTCGAGGTCCCCGAAACGAGTTCCTTCTGGGAGGGGGGGGGGGGGGGGGGGGGGGGGGGGGTTGCTGACCCCAGTGACACCACGTCCCAGCGGAATAATTACGCCGCAGTTGTGTCCAATCTGCGCCCCAGAGTCGCCTCCTTTAGTGACGCAGGCAAATTCAGCACTTACGATGTCATCCCTAGTAACCCTGAGACATAGGGAAAAGGGAAAGGGGGGGGGGAAACAGAACAACGACGCTTTTAACACAACTTCTGTGCGTTTTTTTTTTCTAACGTTTTAGGGTTGTTGTGGATGTCATTCACCAGCTCGCCTGCGCTCTTTTTTTTTTTACCTTTCTTCACTTAGGATGTGTTGCTCAAGCAACATCACCGCTCTTAAGATCGCAACCATTTGTAAGTGGGTGGTTCGACCGAAGAGCC